CAAATCACTTACCTCAAAGAAGTTAGCAAGTCTATGGTCAACAATGACTTATAAGAGACTCACGTAACCCCATGCCGCAAGAGGGAAGAACGGTTGCGGTGTCTCACGGATTGTCAAACTCTTATGCCTAGAGCGAACCAACGTATGCCAATTTCGGCAAACAAAAGACTGCTCTTTTTCGTTGTTCTTCATGACAGGTAGATCAAAAATATTCCTAAAAACATCATCAAGGAAATCTTCAATAGTAGTCTGCAAATTATAAACGTTTTCGGTTATTATGTGAACATAAACTACCTAGTGGTTGTCCCATCCAATAATCTCAATTCAAGAAGTCGTTTCACGAAATAAGTTAGTAAGATTTGTACAGAAAAATCACAACCATTAATTTTGTTTTTCATCTGAAATTAATTTTATAAACCATGATAATACTTACAACATTTTTCCGAAAAAAGAGTATGGACAACTTTAAAGGGTCTGGAAATATTGCCTAGGTTATCTCGTAGTGCTAAATTGACGGATTATGGTGGGAAAATGATGATTTTGTGGGAAGAGTATGTGTTTTTGATATTCTCAAAGAGAGAAGAATTTGGTGTGCTAAAATTGCGATTGAAAACGCCAAAAAGAGAGATTTGGAGAATACTGGAGTGATTTGACGTTGTGTTTACAACCACTGAGCCATACCGTTTAGCGCATGCTCTTGCTACCACCATTTGATGGACATGAGTCATTGATTGTCAACAGGGCCGGCTCTAGCCATTGGCTGCCTAAAGCAATAACAAAATTATTGGCCCATTAATTGACATAAATATAAAATAATATTACAACTGGAACTATGCAGTCCAAGATCTCTAGCTCACCTAATCCGTTGATGACCACTGCACTACTGAATCTTTTACGGAAATTTGTTGCATTCAAATTAATAAGATGAATTTGGCGTCTAAATTACAAGTTTCACCTACTTTAGTTCAGGACCGGCCCTGATCATCAACATTGTATCATTCTCCGATGCAAGAAATATGAATTTATTTGTATAATCTCTTTTCTTGCTCTCACTTAAAAAGAGAGATCTTCTACCCTTAATAAAAAAAACCTTCCTTTCTACTAAAATTCTGTTTGATAATAGAGTTTATAATATAGGGATGCGTTTGAAAAGAAAACGAAATGTAGGGGTCAGTTTAGAAAATACTTCTTCTTCGATTTTAGGCCACATCTTTCGAATATCCAACAATTAGATCCACGAAGAGAGGAATCGAAACGACACGAAACCTATCGTTCTGTGAAGAAACAGAGGAAAGGCACCACTAATAAGAAAAAGATCTCATTTTTTCATCGTCTTCTTCGTCTTAGGGTTTTCCTGTAATAAATTATGCGAGGCGGTGGCAAGAGAAGATCAAACGGTGGTGGTGGTTCTGGGAAAAGCAAGTCTAGATCTCCGGGACAGAACACGAGAACCAACTTCAATTCTGCGGCGGGGTCTTCGTCCGGTGGTCGTCGCCGACGTAGTAACAATACTCTGTTTGTAGAAGGAGGTATTCTCTCTGATTTCCGACGAGATCCTACTTTCTCGACGCCGTCTCGAGGAGGAAGCTCTTCTGGAAAGGGATCGAAACCCAGAAGCTTAGATCGTGCAAAAGCTTCTCCTTCCACGAGTAATCCAAGGAGATGCAATGGTAATACTTACGTGTATCAGTATCCTTCCATGGATTTTGAAAAGGGATTGGATCAAATGGGTGGATCAAATTCGATGTTGTTGGGTAAATCAGAGTCGACCCAAATTGTTGCATATCTGGATCAAACGCCTTCTTCATCGAAAGGGGTTAAGGTAAGTTATGATTACGAATACGAACCGAGTTTTGTTTTGGGTGATGATTCTTCTCATAAAGGATTGGGATTTTGTGATGATTCTGATGCTACACCAAGTGGTAGCCTTTCCATTTCAAAGACATTAGGAGAAGAACAAGGATTTATCACTGAAGAGGAGGCTGATGTGAGTGAAGATGAAATGATGCCTGATGTTGTGAAACCATCGAAGAAGAATTCAGGTTACATTTCTATAGGAGGGATGAAATTATACACTGAAGATATATCT